ACCAGATAATTAATCCATCAGATAATTAATCCAGCAGATAATTAATCCAGCAGATAATTAATCCAGCAGATAATTAATCCAGCAGATAATTAATCCAGCAGATAATTAATCCAGCAGATAATTAATCCAGCAGATAATTAATCCAGCAGATAATTCAGAGGTGATCTGTTCGGTGAGTTTTACTCCAGGAGCTGCGAGGCTTTCAGTCTACGTTCAGACGGAGCTCTGCTGCTTCTGTTTACTGAACCAGAGGCTGCTGACGTCATGATGCTGCGTTCAGAACAAGCATGGAAAACTCACCACTCTTATGCCAAYACGGCCAATACGCAACGATGCGTTCAGGTWYCSAAACATGGTACCGTTTGATGTTACTTGAATAAGTTCACAGTAGTGTCGACAGAATTCGGTCTGTACTTAAAAAAGTATCGACTTCGGTACCCATCCCTATCAGGAGCGTCAGGTTTACATGCAAAGCCTACGGTGGACGTGTCAGGCAGCAGAGCGTCAGACGCTGGAGTTGGAAAATCTGAACTTTAGCAGCTCGATGCGGTGCGTCAACCAGAGAGGCTCCACTGTGAGACGTAGTGACAGATTCTCTGACGGGACAGTCTCCTGCATGATGTCCACTAACCTGAGACAGATGGACAGGAGCTCTGTAGCTGAGATACAGTGCCTGTAGTCAGTGTTCTGCCAGGAGATATCAGCACCGATGCAGGTCAGCAGCTCATCAAACTGGACTCGGTACACAAAAGTTCTGAAAGTGAGCCTCATCAGCTCACAGCTCCTGAGTGATGAAATTCACCAAACTCTCGTCTCTGGATTATCTGCTGAATTAATTATGAGTTAATTATCTGATGAGTAGGGGTGTCCCAATATGACTTTTTTACTTCCGATACGATACCGATATAGACCCGATACCATATCAGTACGAATCACACACTTTAACCTACTTTGCAGTGTAAAATCTTATAACCCAACCCAACACCCAATGCTACGATGTTAGCGCTTCCGCTAACAGTTAAGGCTCCCACATACTCGGGCTCACACGGTCCGAGGAGGTCCGAGCGGAMCCGAGCACAAGTATATGGTTGGCCTCGGGTACAAGTACACCTCGCTGCAGCCAAAGCGGACGTCTGCCGGGCTGGACCGCGCAGAGATCACTTTTTTTACGTCCGCGTATGCACACTCGGTGTCGCACAATAAACAGCCTGGTKAGAAACAGGACCTCGGACTGTTGACGCGTCACTGAAACACGTTTATTTGTTGATATGATTTTATCTTAGTTTAAATGATACTTGGAGTAAATATTTCAAGTTTAAAAGTATGTACAGAAGATAATTGGATGTTTTTATTATTTAATGCTGATTTTTATGATTTTATCCTTCATTACTACTGTTATATTAGTTTATATCTAAGCAGTCAAGACTAAATCATTTATTTCCTAACTGGGAGCCCTGCACCAACCTAATAATTGTCTTAAAAAATAAGATTTTTTGTTGCAATTAACAAGTGAACTCTACAAAACTCAATATTAACCATTTTACTTGCTAAATTTCTAACAAAAAAAGACATTCAGTTTTCCAATCCATAAGAATAAATTTACATCATTTATATTTTTCTGTGATGGTTAAAATGATTCAGTGACAGAGTGTTTTTAATTAATGCCTCCTCAAACCTCACATACATAAATACAAACAAATGGAGTTTAAAATGCATTAATTAATACAACTGGTGTAATTTTACTTTGAATGCAGCAGGGTCAATATTACCCCTTCACAGTATTAAATAATTATTTCTAATAGTTTAAATAATTACTGCAGAACATGATTATTATTTTATATCCAATTACTCGATTAATTGTCAGAATAATCGATAGATTAATCGAGTACTAAAATAATCGTTAGCTGCAGCCCTAGACAAAAAAAAAAAAACTAAATTATTGTCTGTTCAAAGTTAAGAGTCCACTGCTCCAATTTTACTGACTGTAACTAAAACAACATGAGCATTGCACTTAATCTTCACTAAAACAAGTGTGTAAACAGATTAAACATCACTCTAATCACAAGAACAAAAAATAAGTAGTAAGAATTAGTTATTTAAATTGATATCTACATTCCTTACTGCTGGATTTCCACTTTGTACAGTCTGAGCATCATGTGGAGATTAGCCTCTGGCTCTGGACGTGCTGGACGTGCATCAAGCACTTCAACAGTAATTTTGACTGGTGTCTGTCCTCAAAGTGCACAAGTGTCCAACTTGAAGCATTGGACGTGATTTTTGAAATCACATTTGGGGTGAACGCACCATAAGACGTTTCTTTTCAGACAGTAATGTGAGGTTTTAACATAATATATCATTAAAATCATTAAACACACTGTGTTGTGTTAAACTAAATGAAAGCACCAGTACTGGTTAGCATTTGTCTTTATTTAATTGAAAGAATAGAACTGTAGTTATGAATGTTTTAAAGAAGCTTTTCTGACCATTAAACAAGTGAAACAGTGTTTTCTGCTGGAGAATTTCAATGTTGGTTGAGTCCCGTCTCATGTGCTCCCCTCCATCAGAAACTCTACTTCCTGATCCGTGGGACGTGTCTGATGTGTCACGTGTTAACATGTCCTCGAGCTGCCATCCACCTGCTGTTGAACCAGCTCAAGTTACTGAACCATGGAGCCATGCAGGAGGTCTATCAGATCGAACAAGTCCTGAATCAGGTCAGGTTACACTCTGTGTGTAAAATCAGTGTCAACAGGTCAGGTTACACTCTGTGTGTAAAATCAGTGTTAACAGGTCAGGTTACACTCTGTGTAAAATCAGTGTTAACAGGTCAGGTCACAATCTGTGTGTAAAATCAGTGTTAACAGGTCAGGTTACACTCTGTGTGTAAAATCGGTGTTAACAGGTCAGGTTAAACTCTGTTTGTAAAATCAGTGTTAACAGGTCAGTTTACACTCTGTGTAAAATCAGTGTTAACAGGTCATTTTACACCCTGTGTGTAAAATCAGTGTTAACAGGTCAGGGGTTATACACACACAGGGTGTGTGTGTAACATACATACATTCTGTGTGTAAAATCAGTGTTAACAGGTCAGTTTACACCCTGTGTGTAAAATCTGTGTTAACAGGTCAGGTTACACTCTGTGTGTAAAATCAGTATTAACAGGTCATTTTACACTCTGTAAAATCAGTGTTAACAG